GTATTGCCAACTATCAGATTTTTTACAGAAGCTCTGAAATTCAGGAATGATACTGGGAATAGTTTTTGTTATATAAAAACAACTGTTATCAAAGTTTCTAAGTAGCATGACTATAGAAAACGAAACTTAAGAAACCAGAGCACTCAACCTAGAGTATTGTGAAAAAATAGGAGAAAATATCACACCTCCATGAAAAGCTATTGGGCTAGCAGGGAAATTTAGAGGACTCAGAAGCTCACAGAGCAACAGTCAGTAACTGAAGCACAGCCTGATTTCCTTGCCTTTTGTTTTCACTCAATTAAGCTGAAAATCCTCAGCAGCCAACAAAGAGTTGATGCCCTCTGAAGCTGCCCCATCAATCCCCTCAGCAAAAATTGTGAGAGATACAGGAAAGAAGCTCCCCCAAGAAAACTGAGGTCTAGTCTAAAACAGATGGAGAAAAAAAACAGAAGACAATCTCTGAATAAACACCACCTCTAGATAAACAGAAAAGCACAACTTGATCTTCCCTCTACAAGCAGATTGGGAAGTCCTTCCAGTGAGGTTATCATAGTTAAGCAGATACTGCTTTTGATCTTGAAGTCAGGCTCCTGGAGAGTTCTGGCTATGAAAATATGCAAATGTTTCCATTGGAATGCATGGTGCATAATCAATCATGCCCAGCAGGCCTTACAGATCAACAACACACTCTAATCAGAAGGCTGCCCAGAGCTATGTTCCTGGAGAGACCAGGCAAGAAAATCATTTAGGAATGAAAATACATCACCATCTGTACTATTTCTTTATAATGATGGTCAGGAAACATGGCTGAAATTAATTTTCTCCCATCTTTCTGTAGCTATTCTACAAAGACCTAAAGAGACAATGTTGGAGAAAATTCCTAGAAGTATTTAATTTACTTTATTTCAATTATTTAATATATTTTCCATTAAATTATAAACTAATTAGCAGATAAAATATAGGTACAGGAATAAAAATTAATTTCACAGTAATAGAGCAACTTTTTTAATATAAAAGCATCAGAAGATAGCAAAATCCAATATATTATTGTCATGGCAAATGTCACTGCTTAACAGCAGTGAAACTGAAGAGCACAGCAGCTAGGGTTTATTGCACAATAACTATTTTAACACTATAAGGAAGTGATTAGGCAACTGATGTTTAGCTGTGGCTTGTCCTTTAGCAGCACAAACTATGTAGAAAAAGTCAGGCAGTTAGAAAATTTATCTTCTGTTCTTTTCTTCAGAGACAACCGAGTACAGGAGGGCTGGGGAAAACGAGGATGATGTATCAAGAGGATAATACAAATTTCACAATATTTTGACATATTCTAGCAGAAGACTAATAAAAGAAAATCTGTTGATTTATTCTAACACACCCACCCATCAGAGGGGTAGCAGTGATGCATGCCTAGTGCCTTCTGGAACACCTGAAAGGACCTCCTCTGACACTGCTGCATTTAAGTTCTGAAGGGTTTCCAGGTACCATTGGTCAAAACACTCCAATCTTAAAAGGCCTTTAACACCACCACCATTTTCTGACATTTATTCTCACATCTTACTCAAAAAAAGGAAACTTCATCCTCTGCTCTCCACCACCCACCCTTCTATCCTCCTTCTTCCAAGAGGCAGAAGCCATTCCCTGTTTACCTTGCCTGCACTGAGTCCCTCCTCCCATCCTCACACCCACGGTATCAGCCGCCCAGGCTCTTTCACGTCCTTCTTAGACATGCTTTGGAACTATGTGTCCATGTTGGTAAGTAACTGAAGAAAATACAAATGAGCAAGAAGGTCCTGTTAACTTCCACACCTCTGCCTACTGGGAACATCCTCTCTGATTACATTTGACCTCTACAGACATAGCTGTCTGAAATACTGGCAAACCTGGGCCTGCTTCTGCCCACCAGACAAGGTGATTAGTCCCACAGTGACACCACTCTCTTTCCACAAAATAGCCTTTCACTACTCAGATCCATTGATCTGGCTGTGTTTGACGGCTGCTGTTTGAACTAGAGATCAACCAAAAGTGTATTTTCTCTCTTCTACAGGTAACATCTCAGTTGTCAGAGATAACTGCAGTTCAAAGCCAGACCACTTTTTCCAAGACTGAAGTTCTTTATGCATAAAAACCTGATGATAAACCCAATATTTAAAGGAAAAATAAAGAATTCAAGTTTCCTCATTATATCAAATAATCCATTTGCTCAAACTGAACAGTTTCATTTATGCTTATCTGCATTTCAGAAGAAGGAACACAGTTTAGCTCAGATAAATTTTGTTCAAAATGACCAACTGAAGAAATCTGAAAAGGGAAAGAATTAATGCTGTTAACTTCCATTTAATTTATTGCATTCCAAAAATAAAAATTATTATGAAAAAGTCAAGCTCTCCTCCTGCCTTAATCCAAAAGACACTTCAAGTACAGGACATAACATAGAGAGAAACATCTGTAGTATCTTCACAAGATGAAATAAAAATGTAAACAATGAACTTAAAATTCTGCATCCAATGAAATATTTATTTTACTATAATTTCCATGCACCTGACTACCACGCACACAAAACACTAGGACTCAGTTAAGATATTTTAACATTTCTAAAATGTCAGAGTCCATAAGCAATAATGAAAGCCCTGAAGCTCAATGCCTGCAAGAAACATTATGCTGGTGTTTTGCTGAACTGTTAGTTATTTTAGATACAGTCCCTCACAAAGATTTCCATTCTTATTCATTGAGATCCTTAAAACAGCTAAGAAGGGATGGCTTTTGTTTCATTTTGTGGAAAAAGTGAAGTAAATTTATCCATCTCTTAACAGCTCTTTTGCAAACACTTTTTCAGAGCTCTTTTGGACATACTCATACGCCCCTGCTAATAACGAATCCAAAACTATTATAAACTTCTGCCTCTAAATCACTTAAATATTGTAATGGATTTAGTTGGATACTGCAAAATGTAATGTCACCTCTCACTTTGGCATCTTTGAAGTGAAATGGGTTCTACTCAATTCCACTAGAGTTTTAAAATAAATAACAAGCTTCACTTTGACTTATTACTACATATGCCCTCTTTACAAACTAAATATTGGGGATTTTTTTTGTAACGAGGGTATATGTAGCAATAAGAAATTAAGACCATATTAAACCCCTTATTTGTCCACATAATTGCAAACATTATCTGATTAATTCAAGATGACCTTTCACAACTGGGTATAACAAATCTGCAAAGGCAGATGGATTTTCTCATCAGAAGAGAGGACAGTTGATGCAATGAGTCCTGCCAGGAGGCAAAGGAATAAGGAATTCACCTCTGAGGAACATGCAACTCTCTCAGCACAGTCCTAGACAGAAGACTGGAAGGGGCCTAGAAAGAGGCAAGAAATGCATGGAGACTTCTTGGAGAATGTGACTTAGAGATGAAACTGTGTTGCCAAGGAGGAGAGACTGGGTGCTCCCCTTCATTACAACAGCAAATATTTAGGAAGATCTCCAAACAAGGGCTTAAGTGTTCTTCCTGTCAGTTGTGGACAAATGGCCCAATAATCTACCTCAGCTTCAAAGCAAAACTTGAGCTTGACTGGAAATACGTAGTAAGAATGACCAAAATGTTTATTATGCTATTGAACATAAATTCCAGGTTTCTTTCCTACTTCATTCTTTAATTCTGCTAATGCTGGAGCTCAACCTGCATGTCTGAAAACACACAACAACGTAACACAGTAATTTTTATGCCCCTAATAAAATACATGCAGATGGAAAGAACAACTTTAGAAGACACCTTTATAAAGTGAACTTATTTCCTATCCTTCTAAGTATCCTGTGCTCAAAACTGGTGTCACAATTAGCCTTAAGAAGGCATTAAAGATGTTTATTCATCCTCTTTACCAGCTCATTGGAGGAAAAATCCATCCCTCCAAGGAAGGATGATCTTGTAGCTACAGAAAATGAGGGCTTGACTACTACTTCAAGTAGATTATCTCCATGAAGTCACACAAAAATGCACTTAAACCCTGTACCTTAGCAGCTGAGTTGTTAAATGGAAATGCTAACATATGGTTGGAGCAGAAGGTTAGCCTAGGTGACTTCCTGAGGTCCCTCCTGACCTACATGTTCTTGTGATCCTATTTGCTTTGAGACACACAGGATGAATGAGAAGTACACTCAGCCATTACAAGGTTGATTACAAGTGAAAATCTCAAATAAGTACCCTAACATTTTCAAGGTTGTAATACATAGCTTTTTACTACATATATATGGGGGGAATCCTGTAAAAATGCGCATGAACTCAGTGCAAGTGACATCTATGACAGCCAGAGAAATACCTCAAGTGATCCTGTTCTGGATTATGTGGTAGAACCTGACAGTTATTTTGGTTTTCAGAAAGCCAGCAAACTGAAAAACTAAACATCTGTTTTGACTACAAATTTTTTAAGTAGCATCATAAGCTTGAAAGGCCTTTTACTGAATTACATGCAAGTAAATTTACCAGGTAGATTAAGCAGAAATTTTACAGACACACTGATGCTAACATGAACAAGAAAAAGTACTTGTCATCTTGCAACACAGAATACCTAATGAGTATAAAGTGTCTACAAGTATGACAATAAAAAATTTGAAAAATAAATTGCTAGCAGGTAAGATGATTTTGTATCTAATTTAGAAGATTACTTCTCAGGGTGAAGCTGAGTCAACAATCTCTTCTTAAGACTCATCCTTTTCTCCAGGTACCTCAGCTGCAGCACATTCTAAAAGCAAAAACAATGCAAAAGCAATAACAAGTCCTACTCTACAGATGCTCTCATTTTCAGCTATTGGTGTTTCTAATTTCCTGGCAGATCTCTCAAATAGGAAGGTTGTGATGGACTTTGGACTGCTTGGGCACAAACACTAGCCTCAGCAGCTCATAGTGCTGCTTACTAAACTTGTATCTAATGTCCTACTAAAAAATAGCAGGGAAGAAAAAGGAATAAAGCTTAAAACAAAACACAACAAAAAATCAAACTCACCTTGCTGGAGGCACATCAATATTTGAAGAAACAACCTTGCGCTTCTGTTCCAGAAGACAAACAGAACGAGTGTTTTCCTTTTCATGCTCATGAGCTCTGTTAAGTTTTTTGGTCTCTGCTGTTTTTAAATCTTCCTCCTTTGTGGTGAACAGGAGAAACTGTTGGTCTGGCGGTTTTCGACCGATGTCACTTTTTACATCCTCCTGTTGAAATGCATGGAAGGTCATTTCACGCTTGATGTTGGCTGCCTGAAAAATTGAAAGCAATTATTAAATTTTCCTTTAATTCACCTAAAATGGGAAACAACCCACTACCCACAGGCATTTGCTTCTAATTAATTATTTGAATTAGTGAATACCATTTCTTTGTCCTTCATAAAATCTGAAACTGCCATTAATTTCTCCAAAATGACTAGCCAGGAAAATAAGCAATTTTTGTCCATTTGATAAAGCTATCAACCTCTTTATGTTAAATCAAAAAGGTTTTTGAATAAGAATGTCAGAAACCAGATTATAAACAACATATCTTTAATGCACACACATCTGTGCAGCATAGCTATGCAAAAGAAATCCTAGCTGTCTTCCTCCTAAAATGGCAGGGAAAAGAAGTCAGAATTTTTCCAGATTAAACATAACCAACAAATTAAAGTGCTTCCAACAGCCACATACTGAATTTTTTAAAAGCTGCATTTGTAAATAAAGGTTTTTCCAGGAACAGAAAATAATTTGCTATGATCCAACTCATCTGCCAGAAGGCAAAGGGGAGCAAGTGATGGCAGCTCTCTGTGAGGATCCATCACAGAGCAGGGACACACACCCAGGAGCAACGCCAGGTTCTCTCTTTGCCAGCACTTCCCAGATCTTCTGGTCTGCCACTTCCCACAACCAAAGACTTCCCAAGCAAACAGGTGCCTTAGCAAATACACTCCCACTCTGGAATACAATGTGCTGGTGTTTATAAAGCAAACTATTTCAGAGCTGCAGGGAAGACCCTGAAAACTCATCAGAACCAAGCCACTCCATCTTCCCAGCAAGTAAAACAAAGCACAGGACCTAGATTTTCCTGTGAAATCCATTCCCTGGACAGCTACACTTCCACAGTTTCACAGGGGCACACCTATCTGTGAGGTGACCCCTCCAACCAACCCAAACAACCAAGCAAAATATGGCCCAACAAAGTGGCAGCTTCTCCTGCCTCGAGCAGAGGTACTTCTACACAGCATGCACTTTCTCAGAGAAATCCAGTTGCCTTCTAGAGCTGGCAAATTGGATTTTAAAAGATTTGTAAATTATTGCTGATCTTCACATTGGAGATATCCAAGCTGTATTGTCCTCAGATAGTAACAGCACCAATAAACTGAAATTCCTATGTCAACTCTTCCAACTTATTCCTCCTTTTCATCATCCAAAAAATTAATCAATGTATTTGTGTATACATTTATGCAGTAAAATATATTCCTCTCTCCACAGATCTCTGTAGATTTCAAACCTTGGCAGTTACAAGAACGGTGCAAGCAATTTTAAGTTCACAGGAAAGATACTTGCCACAGTAATTTTGTTGTATTCTGTAAAGTGTATCACATCATTAATGCATAACTATTTAGGACTGATGATTTAATTGTTTCTAGTGCTTCCACTGAGGGGCTTCAAGAACAAACCAAGAGTTATTATTCTATGAACATAAACAGTAGAAAGAATTAGACACTTTACACTTCACACACAAACAGATGACACATTACCAAGAAAATCTGCCTGGAAGACAAAACAGTCAGCATGTGATCACGCAGAATTAGAAGACATATAAACAACACAAATTGAATTCTGATTTAATGATTTTTAAAAAAACCCTGAGATTTACAATTAGCCTTTTTCTGAGTGCCTGAGAATCACTGAAATGCTGAGTTGCATTCAATTTTCAATAAAACTGACTTGTAAGTAATGCACTGAAGTAACAAAAAAGCCTGAAAACACCCTAGGTCCAATATCCAGCCCCTAGAAATTATGTAACACCAAACAAGGGTTTACATAAGATTTGATTTCCATCCCCTCCATTGCTGCATGGTCTTCTCTTGCCCGACCACACCTCCCTTCCTTCCTGGCCAGGATTTCCACCCCACCTGCTGCAGAGGAGGGTTCTGTGCGGGGCAGGAGCAGCTCCCCTGCTGTGCATGGCAGAGGTGTCACAGGTACTGGGCAGCACCAGCAGCTGCCTCCTTACCCTCCACAACCCTTAGTGTGGGCTGAGAGCATGGAGAGGGACAGCCTCCCTCATTTCCTACTCTCCAATGCCTGACTGAACTCAGTTTTCATCAGGATGGTTTTAATTAATCTTTTAATGGACTAAGTGCATGACTGTACCAAAGAAAAAAAGGTATTGTTGTCTTCTATTTATGAAATTTTAGGATTTTATTCAGTTTCAGCAAATATAATGTACCATACATTGCTGAGTTTTCTTTACAGACCTAAGTAGTGACAACAGAAGGTTGCAGGCTCAGACTACAGCTGTAATATAAAGCCAAAACCAAAAATAGCAGAATAGTTTTACTGTGATACCAGATAATCTATTCTTATATATCAAATTTATCCACATCCAGTTCAAACACATTTCATACGTCAATATGCCACAATTAACAGTCAGTCCCATGCATGCATATGGAAGTGAGGAAAGACAAAAATCACAGAGCAAATGCTCAGGTTGCAGAAGCAGCTCAGGTTCTTCAGCCAATGGTCAGAAAAAGCAGAAGACCAAATCCAACGCTCAGACTGATTCTCTCCCTCACGTTCAGTTTTCAACAGATGCTTGGAAATACTAAATTCTTTCTAAACTTTCCCTTGAGAGTGACTGCATGTAAAGAATCTTTTCTACTTTAGAAGTAGGTGATCATGAAAGAAAGCCAAGAGTTTTCCTGAGTGGGCTTTCTCCAGTAGCTTTCTCCTACTCCACATGCAGTTTTCTATTTTATTTCATCCATGTCTCTGGAAGCCATTTCCCCTTGAGACACCTGCCCTGTCTGGAAGTGTATGGTGTCTTTTGCTGGAAATCCAACCACCTACACAAGCAGCCATTGATGTGAGGAGTGCTGAGGACCACGGTCGCCTGAATGATCAGGCTCCTCACTTCCTGGCAAACACTGATTAATGACCAGGACGCCTCTGACTTCAAACTCTGCTTCACCAGCACTTATAGTTCAGAGATAACACAGATAATTTCCAATATATCTTTCCAGATAGTTAACTGTTCTGTCATATTTTATCAATAACTTGATTTTTTTTTTTTCATAGATCCTTAATATTCTTTTACCCACTTGAGTCTTGGGATGATCCCTCAAGTCCAGAATGTTTCAGCAAAAATTCTGTGGAAGATCTAGTCAAACCTATCTAGGCCTGTCTCACAGACAGCGAGAACGTAAGACTTTGACACCATTTTATTTCAGCTAACTTCCAATACTTCACATTTCTCCATCCTTTGCTGTTCTCAAATTCCATGATTACATTATTCCCAAATGGTTCAGCTTTTCTTGTCCTCCAAATTTGCCATCTTATTGCCTCCAGTATCAACTACTGGTAAAATTTCTGTTCTTTTCATGCACTTGATGAATTATCATTCATACAAGCCACTTGATAATAGGCTGTTTTTCTATGCAATTCACTGTGTATTTTCACCCTTAAGCCATTAGCAACCTTCAGCTTACTTTCAACAGAGTTCTTTACAACCTGGCCTCAGGCAACCACATCACTTGGAAGTTCAGTCACAGAAACAGGAGCTATAAACCCCCTGTAAATTAAAAAAACTAGTTTTGTTTCTCTCTGCAGTTACCTCCACCTGCCTTTGTCAATTTTTCCCCCACCATCACTACTGGGCAAGGGAGACTTTTGTTACCATGCTCCTTGGAAACAACCAAATTACCCAAACCTTCCCCACTGGAGTTCAAGCATGGGGCAGGGGCAGAGCTGAGGTATGATGTGGCATTACTCCTACAATAATCATCCTGCAAAAACTGAAAACCATTTCGTGCTTTGGTTTCTAAGTAAAAATTTTATTAAGAAAGTCTTTCAATTTCTGTTTCGAAGTTGTCAAGACAATCATATATATTTAGATTGAGGGTTTTACTTTTAAGTTAAGAGTTTTACTTTAAAGCTTGATTCATTATTAAACGACAAAGTTTAATAATCCATGTGACAGCTAAATTATTAGCACAGTTACTATTTTCAGCAGTATATTAGTAGTTTTTCATTGAAAAACCTATCTTAACTTGACTATAGAACGTTTTATGTGGTGGTATTTTGTCATAACCAAATTGCTAGTCCTGAACTCCACATCAAGGCCATGTGTTGCAATGTAAGTCCTGTCCAAAATGAGCATGCTTAACACCGACACAAACTGAGGGATTTAGAGAAGTGTTTCACTATTCCTTACAAATGATGAGTAGGCTGCAATTTTTCAGTAGTTTAGGCCTTAACTTATATGCAGTCAATTTTTGCCCTACCCAAGAGCACATCCTTATAAGACGCTGACATTGCAGTCAAACCTCAGTCTCCTCCAATTTCAGTTAAATTTCAGCTTGCATTTTACCTTGAACAGCAAAAAATTATTGATCAAAAAGACAACTCAGGCACTGAATTGCCTATTTAAAGGATCAGCAAACACTAGAATAAGTAGACCTATCACATTTATATGGAAACACAGAGACTCAAGATTTGACAGATTATTATGTCACTCCTTGAGTATAACCTGACTGGACTTTATCATCTTCCCTTGCTTATGGTACACTGCTGCTCCAAAACTTGGGTTATTTGTTTACAAATAGCTCACTAGCATTTAACAGGCATTAAGATGTCTGTGTTTCCTATACAATGGAAGGTATTGAATTCCCAAGAATATTAGCATTGTGACCCAACTGTATGGAAATATATCTTCAAATGTGAAAACTGACTCCTACCCATATTCTTTCAAATTTCCTATTTTTTTGGTGCAGAACCTGTGGATTCAGGTGGGCAGAGCAGGAATAGAAACATAATTTTTAACAGGCTTTGTAACAGACTACACAGACAGATGGAAATACAATAAACCATTGAAAGAATTGCCACACCACATACCATGCCTAATTTGCTGACAGTTTTATAAACATCTCAAGGGCTGATTTGCACATGGCAGCTGCCCAGCCCAAGAGAGCACTGTCTCCCACCCCTGTGACTCGATGAAGCACCTTCCATGAAGCTACACCGATTTACACCAGATGAAGAAGATC